CAGGCTCCCTGAGGAGCTGTGAGCCCGATGCGGGACTCGATCCCGGGACTCCAGGATCATGACCTGAGCCGAAGGCAGTCGCTTAACCAACTGAGCCACCCAGGCGCCCAGTTTTGACTCATTTTAATTCAGGCACCAGGGAAGGTATCCTTGGGCAATCATGACTTCTAAGACATCAAGAAAGCTTTAGGTGCATCCCAGCTAGCAAAACACCAGCCCTGTGAGGAAGAAACTAGAAAGTAGAGGGGTTAGCCAGCAGCCTGGCTGGGTGGGTGTGTGTCGGTGAGGGGAGACAGGGTCGTGAGTGATGTATCATATCAACAACCCCTTTAACAACATCTGCCAACAGCACAATTTGGTATGAACTCCACGCCAGGGAGTGGCCTTTCAAGACGCAACCAGCAGAGGCAATAATCTGGCAAATGGGCACAGGCATGAAACCCAACCTCAGCCAGATCGGCATGGGAAAAGAAATCTCGGTAAGTCCTGGGACAGTGCCAGCTCTGGGGGACAAGGAGAGAGGTAGACACAGTTCAGGGCCGCCTTTTTCCTGTGTGGTAAGGTTACAGATGCTTCCCCAGAGGGTGGCACAAAAGCCTGTCCACAGCCTTGTCAGATCGTGATTTGGAGCTTAAGAGGTGAAGTTTCTGAACTCTGCCTGCAATTCAGGTTCCCGCCTCAAGGGTGCAGTAGCACTTGGCCAGACTTTCCCTGGCAGTGGTTTGCTGTGTGAAGTAGAAACAGTGAATCCCTCTTTTTCTGTTACTTTTAAAAGATATTCATTAAAATATTACCATACTATGATTCTAATTTTATTTGCTTCTACATAAAAATTTTTAAGTCATGATCCAGCTCAGAACAAGATATACACAAACAGAGAAGCCTGAGTATAAATTAATAATCACCCTCTAAAAAACAGCAGGAAGAATGCTGTCTTTTGATCAGAAGACAGATAAGTCAGGGAAGGAGTAATTATCTGGCATGTTTTTAAGGATTACCCGTATCTAGGTTTCCTTTCTCAGGTGAGGTGATTATTAAAAGTAACTTCCCACTCTTTGACTTTGAAGAGCATTTAAAGTTTGGGGATGTGGATAGAGACCTCAGGATTCACTTTTCTCCCTCCCTTTGAGAAAAAAATGGCCAAGAAACTCCTTGGGGAGCATTACTGATCTCAGTGTATCCTAGACCTTCTAGAACGGGACCTACCTAGTTTGCTGTATGGGCTCATGAGTTGGATGAGTGGAAGGATGGATAGATGGATGGAAAGAAAGACAGAAAGATGATAGATGATGGATAGATAGATAAGGATGAATGCATGAATTGGGATGGATGGATGGATAGATGGATGATGGGGGAATATACAAGTGGGGCAAATGGGTAGACAAATGGACAGACCCAATGAGATGCCAAAGGGTATCAAGGCATCACCATTTACATTAAATCATCACATGCTGGCTTCTTTTAGGACATTCTTCTCTTTTGCTGGGCCTTTGAACAAGAAGAAAGACCTACCTTCACTAAGCTCATGGACATGCTGGAGAAACTGCCAAAGCGGAACCGCCGCCTGTCTCACCCCGGACATTTCTGGAAGTCTGCAGAGTAGGTGTTCTTCTTTAGTATCTCTCCCCACAGCCTTTGTCCTCTGGCCTTTGCCACCTCTTTGCTCCCCTCCCCCACGCCTCTGCCAGCCATCTCCTTTCCATGCACCCACCTCCCTCCCCCGGCCACCAGCCTTCCCTACCGGGTTCCTGTTCAGGGTTCCTGTTCAGGGGAGTCTATAGAGTCTGCCGTCCAGGGCCTGGGCCCTGTTGCTACCATGACCACCTCCTTGCCTATCTCTTCCTGATGAAGGTTGATGCCCCAGTGAGTCTGATCATCAGATGCAAGGTGCTGCCCTGAACCCACCAAGCCTCTGTGTCTGCTACTCCAGGAGGCCTGGCTTGCAGGAAATCTACCCCCCAGGGCCAGCAACCTCTCCCCATGGCATCTCACAGCTTTCTCTGTCACATGAAGACAAGGGCAGGGAAGGTTCTCAGCTCCTCCTGGCCATAAGTGTCTCTCTGGCTTCCTCATTGGAGGCTCTGTGCCCCTCCCCCTTCCATTCCAGAAAAACACAGCCCTGTGCTCAAGCCCACACACGGAGGCAGACTTGGGTGTACACACACACACACACACAGAGTTACATGGCACACCAGAGTACACCAGACCCAGGAGGCCCTCAGCTACCCCTCCCCCCACCATTTGAGCTTGCTGAGCCTGGAGGATAGGATCTCTCCTTCCCCCAGGGGATCAGCCTTTCCTTAGACAATTGAAAAGAGCACAGACCTCCCGTGCAGACAAACAGGGATCGGAACCTCCACTCCATCACTTCGTAGCTGTGTGGCCTTGGGCAGGTTACTTGGCGTCTCTGAGCGGCAGTGTCAGCCTCCAAAGAATGAGGGTGGTAGACGGCTCCAACAGGAATGTGGGGAGGATACCGTCAGGTCGGGCGCTGGGGCGGCTGGGACAGTGTTCCCCCCGTAGCAGGCATTCCGTATACTTGAGCAGAGGACCAGCTGCATTCTGCTGGCCTTCCAGGACTGGGAATGGCTTGAATGTGAAAACGGAGGGAGACTCTAACAAGCGAGGACTCTCTCCAGCTTACCGAGTGCAGGCAAGTTGGCCAATGAGTGTCAGAGCTCTGGGTGGGGTCCCAGGAGTGCCCAGTGTTACAAACCCCAGGTGTCATTTGGGCCATCACCCAGTGGCATCTGCTTTCCTGGGCGTCAGGGAGGAGAGCGCAGGAGTTAACTGAACAGAGGGGCTTAAATCTCCCCGGTTGGAGGGAGAGCAGGGGCCTTCTTTTCTATTTTTTTCTGTGCAGTTGGGCTGAGAAACAGGGAACTAGAGACCCTGAGGGCTGGCAGGATGGGATTTTAGGGTCAGTGAAATTTTCTACTCATTCACTTCTTTACTCCGTCTGTGTGTATTGAGTACCTTCTCTGTGTCGGACTCTGTTCTAGGAGTGCAAATACAAGGGTGAATAAAGTCAATCAGCTCCTCGACCTCATAGGGCTTACCTTCTAGAGCAGGTACAATAGGCAGGTAAATGTGTCTTAAAAGGATCATCATTTCAGGTGAAGTGTTGAAAAGACAATAAAACAAGTTTGCGATAGTGACGACTGGGGGCTTTGGGTAGAAGGGACGGGTCAGGGAATGCCCCTTGGAGGAGGTCATGTTAAGACAAAGCCCTTGGGAGGAAGCCAGGCCCCCACGTGGGAAATCCGAGCCCTCCAGGTGGGAGCGAGCATACAGAGGTGGCAGAACAGATAGGAAGTGGGTACGACCAGGCCATGGGGGGTAGGAGGGAGAGGAATAAGAGGTGAGGTCTCAGGGGTGGCCAGAGGCCAGGTTGGCACGGTAGGAGTTGGGGTTTATTCAGAGGATGAGAGAGTATCGCAAAACCTTTTGCAGAACCGGAAGGCCCCCAAGAGGCCACATGGTCCCACACCTGCTCTCCCCCAGGGTCATCCACTGAGTGAAGGTCGTGGGGCATGTGGAGGGCTTCTCCTTTGTGGAATAGCTGGTATTGGGCTTGGGGTTCCAAAGATCTGAGGGCAACTCCCACTTCTGTCCCTACCCACTTTGTCACTTGTGGCCCTCTGTTTATTGCCTGGAGTGGCCATTTTCTTGGCCCATTATACACATTTGCATCCATCCGATAGGTAAGCCCCAGGACTTTTCTATTCTGACCCCGAGAAACAAAGATGACTTCTGTTCCTTTCAGGCTTCGATTCATAGTGTCTTTTCGTATCCGGAGAGGGATTACCTATCGGATGGATGCAAATATGTGTGGCGTCTGTGCCCTATTCCTGCACCTCTGGCAGACATGACGAATCTATCACAGCACATCCACCGTCACTCAGCTCTCTTGCTAACCACCACCAGTTACTCAGAATCAATGCATAGGATGCCTTCATTGGGCCTTCCAGGTTGATCCAACCTCCTTTCCCATCTGGAGGAACTATGGCCCAGAGACATTCAGAAACTCAACCACATCTGCCTGGGGTGTTGACAAAGCTGGGAACACAGGTCAGGCTCCACCTCCCTAATCTGAAATTTTCTCTCTGCACAACATCAGCCCCTATGGTTCCCTCGGTCACACTCATCTGGCTTTGAGATGGTCACTCCAGTGGTGTGGTCAACGCTGGAGTCCTTCTGGAAGCCTGCTGTGTCAGCAGGGGATTTGCAGAGGGCTTGGCTTAAAGTAGGTCCTATCTAGGCCTTGGTAATCCATGGAGGGCACCAACCAGGAGGTCTCCGCTGCAGCCAGCATGTCATAAGGACGTGAACAGCTAACTCCAAACTTACCTCCGGGGTCTTGGGTTTGCCCCTCCAGTGGATCACACTTGAGGAGCTGGGGTTTCCAGAATCCCCGTATGCCTTAGCACATGGTGAAATGGAGACAAGACTGGGACAAGCCTGCATTCCAGAGCAGTGAGTCTTGAAGTTTCATATGCATCCCAAACATCCAGGGAATTGCAGATTCCCGTTCTGTAGGTCTGGGAGGGGGGGCAAGATTTGGCCCCAAGGTGATGCTGGTGTTGCTGGTCCAACGACCACCCTCTGAGTAGCGAGGGTCCAGACCTCTGCTGCCCAAAAGTGGCCACTCCCCACGTGTGACTCTTGAACACTCAAAACATGGCGAGATGAGATGTCCTGTGAGTGTAAAATCCACACAAAATTTTGAAGACTTAGGATAAAAAAAAAAGGGGGGACATAAAGTAATTTGTCCCATTACACAGATAGGACTGGTGATACATTGAAATTCTAGTGTTTGGGATATATTGGGTTAAATAGAATATACTATTAAGTTCACCTTTTTTTTTTTTTTAACCTTTTAAAATATGACTAGAAAATTTACGACTTCCATGACTTGGGTGGCACTTTTTTTTTAAAAAAACAGCTTTGTTGAGATATAGTTCACATATCATATAATCCTCCTACTTAAAATATACAACTCTGAGGGTTTGGGTATATTACATTATTTTTAAGAATTGTGGTAGAGGGCCACCTGGGTGGCTCGGTCAGTTGAGCATCTGACTCTTGCTTGATCTCAGCTCAGGTCTTGAGATCAGGGTCATGAATTCAAGCCCCGTGTTGGGCTCCACACTGGGCATGGAGCCTACTTAAAAGAAAATTGTGGTAGAATATATATAACATTCAATTTGTCATCTTAGTGGCCTTGATCACATTCACGTGTTGTGCAATCACTACCATTTCCAAAGCCTTTTGTCCCCTCGGAACACAAACTGTACCCATTGAACAGTAACTCCCGGTCCCTTCTCCCTCCAGCCCCCAGTAACCTCTCACCTACCTCCTGTCCCTGTGAACTTGCCTATTCTAGATATTTTATACACGTGAAATCCTACAATATTTGTTCTTTTGTGTCTGGGCTCTTCACGTAGCATGTCTTTAGGTTCATCCACAGTATGGCACGTATTAGAATGTTACTCCTTTCCACGGCTGAGTACTATTCCATTGTGTGTATTACCATGTTTGGCTTGTCCTTCCATCTGTTGGTGGAGCCTTGTTTGTTTGCACTCTGGCCGCTATGAATAATGCTGCGGTTAACAGTGGCGTACGAGTATCTGTTGGAGTCCCTGCTTCCGATTCTTTTAAATAGCACTGTATGTCCATTGCACGCCATTGGTCTAGATCATCACCACGACCACCAGCATGATCTCCATCATCTGGGTACCACCTATCAAACATGTGTAATGGGTACTGTGTCAAGCATTCTGTCTGCGTTGTCTTGCTGACTCCTTGGAGCTCCCCCTAGGTGGCAGGCACTATTACTTTTTTACTTAGAAGAAAACCAAAGCACAGAGAGGCTAATAAGTACCTTCCAAGAGGTCACACAGCTAGTAAGGAGAGTAGGCCTTGGAATCCAGGTTGGTCTGGGTCCTAAATCCATGATCTTGACCCCTCTACTCTGCTGCCTTCTACACAAAGATTACCTGTGTACCTTCAGGGTTCTTTCTAGAACCATGCTGGGAGAGTGGGCACCAACATCTGCCATGATTGCCCAGATCCTGGCTCAACAGTGGTCAGCAAAGCCTCTGCTCATGGCAGGAGTGTATGGTGTGGATCCTGGTCTCACCTCTTCTTCCTGTATTTCCAGCCCTTACCGAGCATGCTCAGCAACAGCACATGGCAGCAGCCCTGCCCACATGCTGGGGACCATCCCTAGTCCAGAGGCTACCTGCTCAGGTGGGAAGAGTTCTAGGTTCCAATCCTGACCCTGCTGCTTCCTGTGCACCGTTGGGCAAAACGCTTAACCTCTCTGAGCCTCCATTTTCTCATCTGCAAAAGGGGTATAAGCTGCCTATCTTGCCAGCTATTCTCAGGTTTAAATGAGATCAGGTACATGAACCCAGTACATAGTAGGACCTCAGTATAAATGGGTGTCCCTTCCACCTTTTCTTGTAGACAGGAACAGCTCATCCCAAGCCTCCTAGCCCACCGAGAGGGTGCTCATTCACCAAAGATGGCATTGCTGTATCCAGTGACCTCTTGCCCTTCTCTTCTCTCCCCACTGCAGGCTGTGACCATTGGACAAAGGGACAGCACTCAGATGCCTCAGCCCCCGAGCCACCTCTCCTTCCCTGCTCTGCCCTCTGCCAGCTCAGGAGGCCAGAGGCTCACCATCAGAGGGTACCGACCCCGGCCGGCCTGGGAGCACTGCACGACCGAGCTCGGCAGCTTCCCCACTCCCCAGACCCGTGCCCTTTTGCCCGGGCAGGGCTCGGGACCCCTGAGCTAGGACTTACTGGGGCCAGCCAGGGAGACGCGGGATTGATCCATGCGGCCCAGGGGCCGTGTCGAGAAGAGAACTGGAGGCTGAAGGTGGAGCCCCTGGACCAAGGAGGCGAGAGCAGGAGGCCCACGTGGGCAGGCTCACAGGACCGGTCTGTGTGTACATGCGTGGCTCGGTGTGCAATGCCGTTTGCTCTCCATCCCCCGTGACAAGCAAGAGCCCCCTGCTGCCCCAGCCCTGGAGCACCCCTCAGCTGACTCGGTCCCTGGGTGGTGGGTCCCAGCTGCACTCTCTGGAAAGATGGGGTGGGGTGGGGAGCTGAGGCCACAGGGCCAGGACCTGGGCCAGGACCTGGGCCAGGGAGCTCAGCTGTTCCTTTGTAAACATCTGTTCTCAGAGGCTCCCACCCAAGCCTGTCACGATCTGTGGCTCCTTTGCACGTAGCTCCGAAGTGCACAAACAGTCTTGCATGTCTTTGAGTTCTGGGTCTCTCTGGGGCATGGTTCCCCATGTCTGCCACCTTCTCCTGTTCTGTGAGGGTGCCGTCCCTTTACGCCTTACTGCTCCCATGCTCCCCTGCCATTTGAAAAGCACAGTGGCTTCCCCGCCAAGAGGACTTCTCAGGGCTCCTTGCAGCTCGCCTTCGTCCTTGATACCCCCCTGAAGTCTGGGCCCTGAGAACTGGGGGTCTGGGGAGGAAGTTCTAGAACATTCCTTCTCCTCTCCTCCTGCTCTGGCATCGACACCAGCTAAGTTTGTCCACCACAGAGACGGGCGCGGGTCCCGGATAGATGTGTGTTGGATTATATGGCGTATGCACGGCATCTTGTTTGCAAAGGATCCCCCCCTTTTTTACCCTTAGTAAGTCCTCTGGGGGAGGTGAGGAGGAAGGCTGTAGAGGTTCTGCGTTCTCAGCTCCAGCCTGGTGCCGAGTCCCAGAGTGGTTTCCCCATGAGAGGTCTGTCTTGTGCTTGCTCAGTGCTCATGCCTTCCATCCCTCCCTCTCTTTCCCTTCTGGGCTGGTGGCTTTTCCCAGCCACCTTGGGACCAAGTGTTGTGCGGGAAGGATCCAGGAAGCAGGTCAGGCAGTCAGAGTAATACAGTGAGCCTCTTGTCTTATGTTCTTATGTTCCACCCCTTATGAGGGGATGTCTTCTGTTCCCAAAGCCCATCTGACTTGGCACCAAAAGGAAACCTGTCCCCCAGCAGGGCGGTTGCGGGGCAGCTGGGCAGCAGGTAGGATGCCCAGGGTCAGCCCACAGTCTCTCTGTCCTCCCTGGGCACTGCCCAGGCTTGATTTTCTTCTGGTCACTACCTTATCCCGACATCCCCCTCCCAGAGAGGGGACCTAAGACTTCAAAAATCCTACCTGAGCTCAGACTCAACATCCCACCTGATATAAGGGGTGTGTGGGGGTCTTCCCTGCCTTGGGTGATCCCCAGACTGATTCATGCTCTGGGGGCCAAGATGCTTTCCAAACTGGGAAAAATAATGAGATAGTCATGCTTCTGGAGCCTCTGGCCAAGGGGTACCTCTGAGCCTCCCAGAGGGCCTTCCTGAATGGGCTCCCACCTGCACAGGACCAGAGACTAAAGGCCCCCCTGTGGGCTAGTCCTAAGCGGATGTACCTCTTCTGGGAACTTCTATTACTGTGGCTCCTGGCTCAACACTTGTGTATCTCGGGGCCGTTTTATACACACCTGCACAAATCCCAGCAAGCCAGCTGGTGGACCAACCCCGAACATGGGCTTGGGCCTGCCTCGGCTCTGCCCACCAGCTCCCCAAAGGCCTGAAATCCAATCCTGGCTCCTCTTGAATCCAATCAGGACTTCTGGGGTCCATGGGCCCCAGTCTTTGTCATGGACCTAAGTGCGGGAAAGGAAATGAGGACGGGAAGGAGCAGACCGGACACAGCTGCCCTGCAGCTGAAATGCCAGGGACTGCCAGGACTGCTCCCTCCTGCCGCTCTCATTTCCAGAATTCACTCACATGGCCCCCCAGAGCCTTTGGCAAGACCCAGGGGTGGGGCTCCAAAGGCTGATTTTTCCATTTGTTCACAAGAACCAGCTTAAGATTAAGGGCAAGGTCTGAGGGATCCAGGGGGATACCCCAGCCTTCCCGTCTCCCTAGGAGTTTCTCTGCTTTGCAAAACAGGGTTCCTTGGGTCTGTCCTTGGCCCCACGTCACCTGCTCTTGACTTTTCTCCCTCTTCACCCATGTCCTTACTTTGCCCCCACCTTCCTCAGTCTCCAGCAGCCAGGCTTCCGAAGCCCCTCCCTGCCGCCCTCCTCCTGGTGACGCCACCCTGAATTGTTTAGAGGGCACTTTTCATTTGCAGACATTGCAATTCAAGGAAGAACCAAATCTCTGCTTTCCCTGCTGACCTCAATCTTATTCATGAGTCAAATATTGGGAGGAGGTCACATTCATTAATCTTTTGCAAGGAAAAAAAGAAAAAGAGGGGGGAGGTGTGTGTATGTTTACATAGTCATTGCCAGCTTCCCCTGTGACTCATTCTATAGAATCCACACAACAAAGACTGCGTGTGTGTGCACTTGTCCCCATCACCGCTGTGTGTAGGTGCCCTGTGCCCGACAGCAAGTTGTTTATCCCTGGGCCCTGCTCTGAGCAAACCCTTACCTACACAGGCTTCCCAAGTGCACCAGTCCCCAGAGTGACGATGCCCCGGGGAAGCCTTGACCTTGCCTTCTTTGAAGGGCACGTGGATTTGCACCCTGAATGCTACCCAACTTCCCAGGCCACGTGCATTTGCTACAATGGGGCCCCCTTTCCAGGGAGCACCCCCTTGGCCATATGTGGGGATATCCCCGTGCATGAAGCTGGAGACTCAAAGTCTTTACTTAATTCTGTTTCATCCTGGTTTTCCTTTTGCTGGTCAACGGGGAAAACCCCATCTTGCCAGAGAGGCCCCCCTCTTTCTGGCTTCTTGGTCCATAGGAGCCCTGGATTGATCTCTGACGACTAGACTTTTGTATCTAGGATACCTGGTCCTGCCCCTTTCCCACCCCACCCCCCCAAAACCAGACTTCATCTCCTCCCACAGGTTTTGTCCCCCCTCACTGCCAGTGACTGATCATCTAAGGAAATGGTATACGCTTGACCCGGGCCCAATCCCCATCTTGCAAAATCTAGAACTGGAGTGGCCAAGTATGGCCCAGGGCCATATCCAACCCCCCCCCCCGATAGTTTTTACGTTCTCTAATTGAGGAAAAACCAGAAGAATATTTCATAATACATGAAAACTCTATAGAATTCAAATGTCGATAAACGAAATCATATTGGCACGCGGCCACCGCCATTCATTTCCGTACGAACCACGGGGTTTGGTCCTGTGGTGCCAGAGACAGTGTGGCCCATAAAGCCGAAAATACTTCTTCTTCTTTTTTTTTTTTTTAAAGATTTTATTTATTTATTTGAGACAGAGAGAATGAGAGACAGAGAGCATGAGAGGGAGGAGGGTCAGAGGGAG